GTGAGAAGACAGGTGAGGAGACAGGTGAGGAGACAGGTGAGGAAACAGGTGAGAAAACAGGTGAGGAGACAGGTGAGTTGACAGGTGAGGAGACAGGTGAGGAGACAGGTGAGGAGACAGGTGAGGAGACAGGTGAGAGTCTGGAGTCTGTTCATCCCCATCATGTCTCTTTTATCCTGTTTCTGTTTCCTCTCTTATAAACTGATGATTCCTCTTCATGTGTTACTTTAATTAACAAGCTTTGGTTTTCACAGCAATAATGATAATAATGATAATAATAATGATGATAATAAAAATAATGATAATAATAAAAATAATGATAATAATGATAATAATAATGATAATAATGATGATAATGATAATAATAATAATGATAATAATGATGATAATAATAATGATAATAATAATGATAATAATAATGATGATAATAAAAATAATGATAATAATAAAAATAATGATAATAATGATAATAATAATGATAATAATGATGATAATGATAATAATGATGATAATAATGATAATAATGATAACGATAATGATAATGATGATAATGATAATGATAATGATAATAATGATAATGATGATAATAATGATAATAATAATAATGATAATAATGATAATAATGATAATAATAATGATGATAATAATAATGATAATAATAATGATAATAATAATAATGATAATAATAATGATGATAATAAAAATAATGATAATAATAAAAATAATGATAATAATGATAATAATAATGATAATAATGATGATAATGATAATAATGATGATAATAATGATAATAATAATGATAATAATAAAAATAATGATAATAATAAAAATAATGATAATAATGATAATAATAATGATAATAATGATGATGATGATAATAATGATGATAATAATGATAATAATGATGATAATAATAAAAATAATGATAATAATAAAAATAATGATAATAATGATAATAATAATGATGATAATGATGATAATAATGATAATAATGATAATAATGATAACAATAATGATAATAATAATGATAATAATAATGATAATGATAACAATAATGATAATAATGATAATGATGATAATGATAATGATAATAATAATGATAACAATAATGATAATAATGATAATGATGATAATGATAATGATAATGATAATAATAATAATGATAATGATGATAATAATGATGATAATAATGATAATAATAATGATAATAATAATAATGATAATACATTTTATTTATAAGCGCCTTTAAAGTCACACAAGGACACTGTACAACAATCAACATTTAAAAAACAACGATGGATAAAATCAGCAAACAATAAAATAAATGAAATGTAGGACAGAGTAATCACAGGTAAAAGAGACGGTTGATGTTTCGTAGGTGGAAGTATGCAGACCTGTTGTTGATATGGGATTTGATTGATAGCATGCTGTCGAGGATGACACCCAGACTCTTAACCTGAGGGGGGAACTGAGGAGCTGTCGATAGTGAGGGAGAAATAACACATGTAACACTCAGTAGTACACTTAGTGCACATTGCTTTGGTTTACATTTCACCTTTTGTACATTTTGTGTTTTTTATTTTTTATATTTTACATTTTTAAATTCTATTTTATATATTGTAATATCTTCTTATTCTGTATTATTTAAGTTGTTTCTAGTTCTGCTTTATTTCCTTGTTAATTGTTTAGCACCAACACACAAAGTCAAATTCCTTGTATGTGTAAATGTATTTGGCAATAAGTCAAAGTCAAAATCAACTTTATTGTCAATTTCAAAATATGCCAGACATACAGTGGAATCAAAATTGCGTTTATCTCCGTCCCACGGTGCAGTACAACCAAAATAAGGTAAAATCAAATCAAATAAAATAAGATAAATAATATTTACAGTAATAAATTCTAAATAGTGCAAAAGGTACAAAACAAAATGGTAAATAAAATAAAATTTAAAGAAAAAGTCAACTTAATAATAAACTTAATAAACCCTGATTCTGATTCTGATTTAGTGTGTTTCCTGCCTTGCCTGTTGACAAGCAGCACCTCTGCCTCTGCTCTCAGTGTGTGAATGTGTAGGTGTGACCTGCAGCATTAAAGCGCTTTGAGTAGTTTTTATTATTATTATTGCCATTTAATGTGTTTCTGGTCCACAACTTTCACTGCCTGTTTGTATATTGAGATAAGAGGTTTTAATGTAGATTATGAAGATTGTAACGATGACCTGATGCAAGAAGACATTATGCAAAAAAAAAAATCATTGCATGCCAGATAGTTCTGCAGTTTAACACGACAAGTCAATTCATTTTGTTCTGTGTTTTTGCAGAGCTTCCACAGCAACATATCTGCAAAGAGGAGGAGGAGGAGGATCTCTCTGACCAGCAGCTCTGTAACCAGGAGAGGAAGTCCAGTCTGGACCAGGAGGACCCAGAGCCTCCACAGATTAATGAAGAACAGCAGGAACTCTGCACCAGTCAGGAGAGAGAGCAGCTGGAAGTGAAGCAGGAGACTGGAGACTTTTGGTCGACGCTTACGAGTGAGGAAAGTGAACACATGGAACCAGAAATTAAAAGTGAACACCATCTCCTCGCTCACAGCTCTCATGTTACTGATAACGAAGATCCTGAAAGCAGCAAGAATGGAGACTCGGTATCGACTACAAATCCAGAAAGGAGACTTCAAATGAGCACGAGTCACCTCGCTGAATCATCAGTGAACTTCTTTAATCCTGACGCGAATAAAAAGTCTTTCAAATGTGACACGTGTGGTGAAGTCTTTCAGAGTAAGTCAGACTTACAGACACACCTGCGCGTCCACACAGGTAAGAAGGTGCACACGTGCAAGAGCTGCGGGAAAATATTCAGTTTCAGGTCGATACTGATAACTCACATGAGAATCCACACGGGCGAGAAGCCGTTTTCTTGCGTCACGTGTAAGAAAGATTTCCGATTTAGCCACGCGCTGACGGCCCACATGAGAACCCACACAGGTGAGAGGCTGCACTCCTGCAGCACCTGTGGGAAGACATTCCGTCGGAGGTCAAACTTGAAAAGTCACCTTCAGATCCACACGGGTGAAAAGCCGTTCACGTGCCAAATATGTGGCAAATCCATCCGATTGAAAGGGGGACTATAACATCCACATGAGGACACACTCAGGGGAGAATCCGTACTCCTGTGACACCTGTGGGAAAGGATTCTTTAAGAGGTCAGATCTGAACAGGCACGTTCGGATTCACTCGGGTGAGAGGCCGTTTACCTGCAAGACGTGTGGCAAATCTTTCAAAATAAAAGGCAACCTCACAGAACACATGAGAACACACTCGGGCGAGAGGCCTCATTGTTGCAGAATATGTGGGAGAGATTTCCGATCGGGCCGTATGCTGGAGTGTCACATGATCACCCACACAGGTGAGACGCTGCACTCCTGCAGCACCTGTGGAGAAGGATTCTCTCAGACATTGGACTTGATCAGACACATGCAAATTCATACAGGTGAACAGTCATTCACAGCCAACAGTGTTGATGTTGATTAAAATATTCATGATGATGTTGAACTCTGTGAACTTGTCGTCACCTGTGTACGATCATGAGATGTTTGTTTCCTCTCTGGATCCTCGCTTGTGTTGTTCTTACTCTCACATGTGAGTCTGCTAAAAAAGGATTAAAGAAGTTAAAGCTGCAAATCTGTTTATTTTTTTTTGATGGAAAACATTCTTCCATGGAGACGGGGTTCACGTTGTTGATGTAATGCCATGAAGATGTATCACCATTTTTGTCCTCTGTATTACTGCAGTGCATTTATCATGTTTCAATATTAGACTTTTTTTTTTATCTCGCAAACTTCTTCAGTCATTTTGAAGTTTAAGCTGTGAAACCATCTAGAGGAGTTAGTTAAACTGATAAAAACTTGTGTGCACAAGATTTTTTTTGATTACTTTTTGGGACTTCAGGGGCTCCGTAGTATCATCTGACTTGTGCGCACAATATATTTTTTTAAATTGTTATGAAATGTTTTGGGACTTCAGGACTCTGTAGTTTGACAATAGATAGTAGCCGTAGCAGTTAGCATATTTATTGGTGATAGACAGAGGTGCTGCTTGGGGGCCTCGGGCTAGTAAAGGGATGACACACTTAAAATGGCTTAAAATGTGCAAGAGGGCCCCAAATAACAGCAATCACTGTCATTGCTCTGTTCATTGTTACGTGCATTAAACACCCTGTGAAAACTTATGTTTGTCAAAGCCACTGAAGAAAATAATAATAATAATCATTTATACTTTATTGATCCCGTGAGGGGAAATTAGGTTTTTTTTTGTTAAATGTAACTTTAAAATGTTCAAGTTATTATCCACTGAGAGTTCAAAAAAGCAAAACAGAAGAATAATTTTCCCCCTCCAAATGCTGATAATGGTAACTATTATTTATAACATAAAGGTGATGAATGTCGGTTGCAGGGGCCCAACATACTCTCGAACCACCGCTGGTAAAGATAAAAGAGAAAGATGAACTTTATTGACATTTTTTTTTGCGTTACTACAGCTCAAGAAAACAGGAAACAGAAATAAAATGATTAATAATAACAAGAAGTTAAAAATCAAACATGTTTCCATCAGGTAAATAAAGGGAGAAAAAATACAATAATAGAATAATACCAGGTGTGTACACTTCCACTTGTGGAAAGATTTATTGTTATTAAAAACACAGTGTGGAGCATTATTGTGGTTTGATTGTGGTGACAGACATCCTCAATAAAACATGTGGTAACAAACAGATATGTGTAGTGTGACTGTGGTAACTTTATCTTATTATTTAAATGTCAACATCGACTATTAAAAGAGCCTGAGCGATGTCTGTACAATTATTCAAAAATAAGAATAAGACATTTGTACATTTGCAAGAAATGTTTAAGAAATGTTTAATAAAAACATAAAAAAATAAGAATAAAGACGCGTACTATAACGTCATCATCCCGCGTCTTTGCGCATGCCCACAAGTGACGGCCCGGCCCCCTTCTTTCCCTTCCAGAAGGAGCGTGGTGAAGATGGCGGCGCAGAGCTCGACGCCGAGTGATCTTTATAAATGTGTTTATTCCTTCCTGCTGCAGAACAAGTTCACCAAAGCGGCGCAGCAGTTCCTCAAGCAGACCAAAGTGGTAAGCGGCTCCCCGCGCGGGCTTTCTCACGGTGCTCACGCGCTGTCTTCACCTCCAGGTGTTTGTGACGCGGAGGCTGCGCGAGCTAACGTTTTTCAGGTTAAAAAGCTCCGCGTGGAGCCTCCTCTGTACGGCTGCACGTGCAGGAGGAGAAGCACGTTTTGTTGATCTAAAATCAGTTTGAACTGAATTCTTAATGTTTTAATGTAGAAATACAATCATAGATTTACTCTGAAGAGTTCATGTGACTGATTTTTATCTGTTTTTAAAACTTTCCTGGATGTCCCCCCCCTCACCCCCCTCAGAGTCATTTCTTCATGTGTTTCTTTTATTCCAGACTCCACAGGATGAGAATGAAGAGAGTCTTGTCGGGATCTACAACTTCTGGGTGAAGTGAGTTCTCAGTTTTCTTTGTTTTAGACCACTTAGAAGAGACTTTTAAAGACCACCACCTCAGGTCGGACCTCCTCAGGTCGGACCACCACCTCAGGTCGGACCTCCTCAGGTCGGACCTCCTCAGGTCGGACCACCTCAGGTCGGACCTCCTCAGGTCGGACCTCCTCAGGTCGGACCTCCTCGTGCCAGTAGAGTCCCAGAGCACACACTGGACATGGATCTAGTTTCTAACCTGGATGTAGTGTAATAATATATCTATGCTTACCTTTTTAATTACATCAGATTAGGATTATTAATGGAGGACAGAAACTTTGATATTTTAAGCAATAACTCCATACTGGTCTTGTGGTGCCTGATGGTTCTTGTGATGGTTCTAATGATGGTTCTAGTGATGGTTCTTGTGATGGTTCTAGTGATGGTTCTTGTGATGGTTCTTATGATGGTTCTTGTGATGGTTCTTGTGATGGTTCTAGTGATGGTTCTAGTGATGGTTCTTGTGATGGTTCTTATGATGGTTCTAGTGATGGTTCTTGTGATGGTTCTTATGATGGTTCTTGTGATGGTTCTTATGATGGTTCTTGTGTTGCCTGGGTTCTTATAATGGTTCTTATGATGGTTCTTGTGTTGCCTGGGTTCTTATAATGGTTCTTATGATGGTTCTTGTGTTGCCTGGGTTCTTATAATGGTTCTTGTGATGGTTCTTGTGATGGTTCTAGTGATGGTTCTTGTGATGGTTCTAGTGATGGCTCTAGTGATGGTTCTTGTGATGGTTCTAGTGATGGTTCTAGTGATGGTTCTTGTGATGGTTCTAGTGATGGTTCTTGTGATGGTTCTTGTGATGGTTCTAGTGATGGTTCTTGTGATGGTTCTTGTGATGGTTCTTGTGATGGTTCTTGTGTTGCCTGGGTTCTTATAATGGTTCTTGTGATGGTTCTTGTGATGGTTCTAGTGATGGTTCTTGTGATGGTTCTTGTGATGGTTCTAGTGATGGTTCTTATGATGGTTCTTGTGATGGTTCTAGTGATGGTTCTAGTGATGGTTCTTGTGATGGTTCTTGTGATGGTTCTTATGATGGTTCTTGTGATGGTTCTTATGATGGTTCTTATGATGGTTCTTGTGATGGTTCTTGTGATGGTTCTAGTGATGGTTCTTGTGATGGTTCTTATGATGGTTCTTGTGATGGTTCTTATGATGGTTCTTGTGTTGCCTGGGTTCTTATAATGGTTCTTATGATGGTTCTTGTGTTGCCTGGGTTCTTATAATGGTTCTTGTGATGGTTCTTGTGATGGTTCTTGTGATGGTTCTAGTGATGGTTCTTGTGATGGTTCTAGTGATGGTTCTTGTGATGGTTCTAGTGATGGTTCTAGTGATGGTTCTTGTGATGGTTCTTGTGATGGTTCTAGTGATGGTTCTAATGATGGTTCTAGTGATGGTTCTAGTGATGGTTCTAGTGATGGTTCTTGTGATGGTTCTAGTGATGGTTCTTGTGATGGTTCTAGTGATGGTTCTTATGATGGTTCTTGTGATGGTTCTAGTGATGGTTCTTGTGATGGTTCTTATGATGGTTCTTGTGATGGTTCTTATGATGGTTCTTGTGTTGCCTGGGTTCTTGTAATGGTTCTTGTGATGGTTCTTGTGATGGTTCTAGTGATGGTTCTTGTGATGGTTCTAATGATGGTTCTTGTGATGGTTCTAGTGATGGTTCTTGTGATGGTTCTTGTGATGGTTCTAGTGATGGTTCTTGTGATGGTTCTAGTGATGGTTCTTGTGATGGTTCTAGTGATGGTTCTTGTGATGGTTCTTGTGATGGTTCTAGTGATGGTTCTTGTGATGGTTCTTATGATGGTTCTTGTGATGGTTCTTGTGATGGTTCTTATAATGGTTCTTGTGATGGTTCTTGTGATGGTTCTTGTGATGGTTCTAGTGATGGTTCTTGTGATGGTCTGGTTCTGTATGTCTGTTGGGTATCGTGCACTTTGGGTTCTTTTCTGTTGAATTGTATTTCATTATTTTTAGTATTTAGTATTTGTTTGTTCTTGTTGTTGTTTATGTTCTTGTTGTTGTTTATGTTCTTCTGTGTTTGCTTTAGTTTGTTCTTGTTTTTGCTGTTTGTCAAAGCACTTTGTAAACCTGTGTTTTTAAAAGCTGCTGTATAAATAAAGTTATTACACTTTTTTTTTGTGTGTTTTTGCACAAATTAAATTCTGAAGTCCTCTAACGTGAGGCGATCAGGAGGCGTCATAGGGCACACTCACTCACACCCAGTTGTCCCCTGAAGCACAACTCTTCTAACCGTGTAAAGGAAGTGTACCGATCGGAGCGCTCACGCTGGTCAAACGAGCTGGTTTTGGAAAGTGAAGCGTGCTTGGGCACGATACTGATCGCTTAGGGCGAGTGCACTAATTTAAAGATTTATTTTTTGGGCGTTTTCTGCCTTTTTTTATTTGAGAGCCAGGACAGTGGATAGAGTCGGTAATCAGGGAGAGAGAGAGACAGAGAGAGAGAGAGATTGGATTTGAACTTGTGCTGCCCGCTTGGAGGACCATAACCACTGGCTCCTTTTTTAGATGTGAAGGAACAGCAGCTCCTAACCCTGTCTCTAAAAACCGAGCTGAGCCCCCCTTCATTTCTATCCCTTTGACTCTTCCTAGGTCTCCTGAAGCTAAGAAAAGGAAAGCTCCTTCCAGCACGGCTGAAGCTACAAACGGTCCTTCAGCCAAAAAGGCAAAAAAGAGCCAAGAGACTTCCAGCAGCGAGGAATCGAGCAGCGAGGATGAAGAAGCAAAACCAACCAAGGCAGCCCCTGCAGGTAAAAATAATATATATAAAAATATTGTCAGAGAACTGCTTGAGCTTTTAGCATCTGTCAGAAATTTACCATTTTGAATCAGTGTGTAGCATTTCTAATAGTTTTTTCTTAAATGTCTATTTCAGCTGCCAAGGTTGTGCCTGCTAAAGCTGCAGCGAGCAGCAGTGAAGACTCCAGTGACTCTGAGGAGGAGGAGGAGGCACCTGCAAGACTCCTGCAAAGGTTAGAGAAAACATCCACATAAAAGATTCCTCCTGAAGCTACTCACTGGAATACGGCTCTGTTTGTGTTTTATTATTACTAAAATGAAGCTTCTTTGCTAAATTAAATCCTGTGTGTGTATATATTCTCGTTCTTAGTTTTGATATTTTTAGTACTTATTTACTTTGTATTTCATATTATATTGTGTTTAGATTTGCTTATATTGTGTTTTTTAACTCATTGTGTGTTGGATAACCTGCTGCTGTAACGCCACAATTTCCCAGTTTGGGATCAATAAAGTAATTCTATTCTATTCTTCTATGTGCAGACTCCTGTGAAGCCAGCTGCTGCTCCTGCTGCTGCAGCGAGCACGAGGAAGAAAGACAGCAGCTCCAGTAGTGAAGAATCTGACTCTGAGGATGAGCAGCCCGCCAAAGCTCCTGCAGCAAGTGAGTCTAGAACCTCTGCATCTGTCTTTTATAGTGAAGTATTCTATCTAAATAATCTGTTTTTGTGTTTGATTAATAGAACCTAAGGCAGCTGCTGTCACTACACCAAAACCAGCCGCTAAAGCTGCAGCTCCAAAAAAGCAGGAGAGCAGCAGTGATGACTCGTCAGACTCTGAAGACGAAGAGCCGGCTAAGGTAAGCAAAGAAAACTCATCACATGTTAGAGTGACTCAGAGCTAAGGGAATCAAAGAGTACACACATGAGATTTACTGTTTTCTTTCCTGTGTACTGAAAGACTCCAGTCAAAGCTGCTCCAGTCAAAGCAGCTCCTGTGAAGCCTGCAGCGCTGCAGCTGAGTCGAGCAGTGAGGACTCTTCGTCTGAAGATGAGGCTCCACCAAGCAAGAAACCCAAAGCAGGTGTGTGTTTCTACCTTTTATTTTTGTTATAGACTCACTGGCCACACACACACACACACACACACACACACACTAATACAGCCTGATGATCTTTGGTTACAAAAGGATGAGAAGTCATGTCTCCCTCATAATGCTCTTTCCTCCTTGTTCCTATTTTCATCTTTCCCATCTATAACCTTTGCCCTGGATTGTGTGTGACATCAGAGTTTTTTTCTGTTACAGGAGCGTACAGTGCCGTCCCTCCTCCGGCCTCCGTGCAGAAAGCTCCAGCTGCTCCGGCGGCCAGTAAGGCCAAAGACGGCAGCTCCTCGGACAGCAGTGATGACAGCAGTGACGAGGAAGCAGAGAAGAAAGTAGCTGGTAAGAAAACTCAAACTTTGTCTACTTCAAGGGGTCGATTTGTTTTGTTTTTTTAAAATGCCAGTCTAACAGCGTTGTAATTCTCACAGTGAAACCTGCAGCCGTAAAGACCCCCGCTGCCAAACCTGAAACACCCAAACCTGCTGCAAAGAAGGCTGAGTCCAGCTCTGACAGCTCAGGTAACCATCAGAGTCAGTCGGGCAGCGTAATCTAACTCCGATGAGCACGTGTTAAAAACTCTTCATTCTTGTGGTTTTTAGATTCAAGCTCGGATGAAGAGGAGGCAAAGAAGCCTGCAGCCAAAGCAGCCCCCGCTAAACCTGCACCAGCCAAGGCTGCACCCGCTAAAAAGGAGGACTCGGACTCAGACTCATCGAGCTCAGAGGAGGAAGAGGAGGTGAAGAAACCTGCAGTGAAGGTGACTCCTGCTAAGGCTGCTCCTGCTAAAGCTGCGGCGGCTAAAGAAGACTCCTCAGACGATGATTCCAGTTCAGACGAGGAGGAGACGGCTAAGAAGACCCCGGCTAAACCTGCACCTGCCAAGACTACCGCGGCTAAACCTGCACCTGCCAAGACTACCCCGGCTAAGAAAGATGACTCATCAAGCTCAGGTAAGAGACCTCAGACTTTCTGCAAGATCTAGACTAGATTTTAAATCGCCTTGAAAATGAACATAAATATTTCTATATTCACTAATGCCGAGGTCAGACTTCACATTAAGCTTGCTTACATCCTGATCTGGTAGATGTAGGGTTTCCTGTGGGGACCCTTAGACCCCAAGATCAGTTTTATCCTATGTAGTGGGTCAGAGTGAAAAATAAATCAAGTCTCCTGTCTCGTATCTCATTCAGAAAGCAGCTCTGAAGACGAGGCTCCTGCAAAACCTGCCACTAAAGCTGCAGCTCCACCGAAAGCTGCTGCTGCGAAACCTGCAGCCAAGAAAGCAGAGAGCAGCTCTGACTCAGACGACTCATCTGAGGACGAACCAGAGAAAGCCAAACCAGTGGCTAAACCAGCTACCCCAGCTTCAAAACCTGCAACCCTGTTACAAAGGCTGCAGCAGAGAGCAGTTCAGACTCTTCCTCTGAGGATGAGGAAGAGGCACCTAAAGCTAAACCTGCAGCAGCAAAACCAGCAACACCGGCCTCAAAGCCTGCAACCCCTGCAGCCAAGGCTGCAGCTGCAGCAGAGAGCAGCTCAGACTCTGATTCTTCTGAAGATGAAGAGGCACCAGTCAAGGCTAAACCTGCAGCAGCTAAACCAGCAACACCAGCTTCAAAACCTGCAACACCAGCAGCCAAGCCTGCAGCGGCAGAGAGCAGCTCAGACTCTGATTCTTCTGAAGATGAAGAACCGGTCAAAGCTAAACCTGCTACACCGGCCTCAAAGCCTGCAACCCCTGCAGCCAAGCCTGCAGCAGCAGAGAGCAGCTCAGACTCTTCCTCTGAGGATGAGGAAGAGGCACCTAAAGCAAAGCCAACAGCAGCTAAACCAGCCACACCGGCCTCAAAACCTGCAACTCCCGCAGCCAAGCCTGCTGCTGCTGCAGAGAGCAGCTCAGACTCTGATTCTTCTGAAGATGAAGAACCAGTCAAGGCTAAACCTGCAGCTGCAAAGCCAGCTTCAAAACCTGCAACTCCTGCAGCAAAGCCTGCTGCAGCAGAGAGCAGCTCAGACTCTTCCTCTGAGGATGAGGAAGAGGCACCTAAAGCAAAACCTGCAGCTGCTAAACCAGCCACACCGGCCTCAAAACCTGCAACTCCTGCAGCCAAGCCTGCAGCTGCAGCAGAGAGCAGCTCAGACTCTGATTCTTCTGAAGATGAAGAGGCACCAGTCAAGGCTAAACCTGCAGCAGCTAAACCAGCCACACCGGCCTCAAAGCCTGCAACTCCTGCAGCCAAGCCTGCTGCAGCAGAGAGCAGTTCAGACAGCTCTGACTCTGAGAATGAGGCGGCCAAGAAAAAAACTCCAGCAGCAGTGGCAAAGAAAGCTGCCCCTGCTGTTGCAAAGGCTCCTGCAGATTCTAGTGATGACAGCTCTAGTGAGGAGGAGGAACCTAAGAAGGCAGCGCCGCCACCACCAAAGCCTGCAGCCACAAAGCCGGCTGCAGTTCCCAAAAAGAAAGCAAAGGAGGAGAGCAGCTCAGACTCTTCAGACAGCTCCGATTCAGAGACCGAGACAAAGTCGACGCCTGCCAAGCCGGCTGTCGCCAACGGCAAGGCAGCAACACCCAAAGCAGCCACCCCAGCAGCTAAGACCCCCGCCGCCAAACCGGCTGAGTCGTCATCCAGTGACAGCAGCTCAGAGGAGGAAGAAGAGGCCGGTGCTGCAAAACCTGCAAAACCTGCAGCTGCTGCAACACCCAAGACCACCCCAGCAGCTAAAGCTAAAGAGAGCAGCAGCTCGTCGGACAGTTCAGAGGAGGAGGAAGCCCCTCCCAAAGCAGCCACGGCTCCCTGCACCCCCATACAGAATGGTACAACTCTTTTCTCTTGGAAATGTTGAGTCATTTTCATGCAGCTTTCTGGAGCACCAGTATCGTTGATTTGATTCTTTCTCTAATATAAACCCGACTTCGTCTTCTCCTCCACTCAGGTACCAACGGAAAGAGAAAACGAGACGAGGAATCCTCTGAAGGTGACGACGAAGACGAAGAAGAAGAAGTGAACACACCAAACAACAAAATAACATCGACCACCCCACAGACGTTTCCTAAAGCCAACAAGAAGGTAAACACCTGCTGGAGACTCGACTGTGAGTGAGTGTTTCATGAAGATGATGATTAATAATAAAGATAACTTTTGTCTTTCAGTCCAACATACCGTTCCGCAGAATAAGAGAGGAAGACGTAGAAGTGGACCCCCGACTAGCAGACAACTCTTTTGATGCAAAGGTGAGTTCAGTGACCACATCGAGAGGCGCTAAAAGAGACGAGTCAGCAAATATCTGGAGGGCTTGTTCTGTGTCACTCTCTCCACACTGGATGTGACTCGAGTCATCTTTTCTTACTGTTTTGCATCGCTGGTTGCTATCGGGTGCTCTTGCACTTGTGCAGGGTTCACTGTGGTCGACTTCCCCTTTTGGAGCCACAAATGCAAAACAATCGACTTTTTCAAGTGATAAAAATGATCCTCGCTAGCTGCATGTGTTTATCAAATAAATGTTTCCTGTATTTGTCATTTAGCAGCAAAAACAAAATATCACACTGTCCAATAACTAATCCAAACGTGTTTGTTGTTCCAGTACGGAGCGACGGGGGATTGGGGCCAGAAAGCCAACGACGTGCTCAAGTTCACAAAAGGAAAATCATTCCGCCACGAGAAGACGAAGAAGAAGAGAGGAAGCTACCGCGGCGGCGCCATCTCCACCACCGTTAACTCTATAAAGTTTGACAGCGACTGAAGACTCGATCCGACCCCCCCCCCCCCGATCCCTCACACCTGAACTCTACTGCACCTCTGTGATCCTGGACTATCAGTTTCCTCTTCACAGTCCCTCAATCATCATCATCATCATCATCTTCAACCAGCAGAGGACTCTGGGAGGCGTGTGACCCGCAGAGCGCTTGTGTTTAGGTAGCAGCCCTTTGGTTGTCATGGAGACCGTTTCTTTGTTCTTTAACCTGCAGCCACAGTTTGTGTAACTGCAGGAGAGAGAGAGATGTTCCCCGCTGTGATTTCAAATATCAACGTGACATTACCACTTATAGCCACTAGGTGGCTGCAGGCCGCCTGTAAATGGTGGACAGAGTTTAAGTTGGCCCCTCCCCTTCTTTGGTATTTTCCCCTTTAACCTCACATGACGAGTGTTAGCTCTTTGTTTTCATCAGTCTGAGTTTGTACCACAGCCGACCATCCGGAGCCGTTTCTTTAAGATGTGGAGGAAAAGGCTGACATTAATCTTTTCTTTAATAGATTCTCAAGGTTTGTTTTGGCCGTTTTGTCAGTTTTTCTTTGGCTTCTGTGTGCTGACTGTTTGTCCCCGGGTTGTTTCCTCTTCACGTTAAATGAACATTCAGAGAGTAGAGTTTTATACTGTGTATTTATTACGTTTTATTCCAGCTCAACTTTAAGGACCTTTAAAAGCCATCTTGAAATATTCTCTGTGAAGCAAAGCCTCCTCCCCGATCTGTTCATCCGTGGTTAAGTTTCTCTCCCAACTTCAGCAGAGCGCCATGTTTGTTTCAGTTACTTGAATCGACTGGATGAACTTTTGTGTACCTCTAATTTTTTTTATTAATTCTTGTAGCGGTGAATAAAAGTCTGACAGATTAAACGACATGGTTTCAGTTCTTGAACTATTTTCTCTCAAGTTGGAACAAATGGTATTAATCTTTACTCAGTTGAAGTTTAAGATAAAGTAACCATGTGGAGGAGGATGATGTGTTATTATACCTCCTACAAAGACCGACCTCCTTTTACAACAAACACACATTCAGTCTACGATGAAGAAATAATCCATAACTTGTTTTATTATCTCTTGAATTGAAGAGAGTCAGTCAATCGGACCGTTTTTCATTTCAACCAAAGGTTCCCATGGTCCATCATGGTCTGTGTTTCCAGCGCTGCCTGAAATCCTTTGTAGTCTACCCACAACTAGTTAGTTCCTTTAATGAAAACAGGGCTTACACTGCTGGCTCAAAAAAGACTTGTTGTAATTCCTCTGTTAGCCGCTAGATGGCAGTGTAAGACCTCTCTTCACCATCAGTGCGTCACAGTTCAGTCTTTGAGGTGATCCTCGTGCCATGGGACAGTTCAGACTCTTGACTGTCCTCTCCAGGCTTATCAAGTAGCCTAAACCCAGCATGATGAACTCATTCTGAGGAATAAACGATTCAATATGACGATATGTAAGATACAAAAAACTTTGAGAAGAGGCTGAGACATCCGGGGACTTTGGGGTCAAGCTCCTAAAAGGTTGTAATCTCTGCGATCTATTTGGTCTCATAATTCCTGCAGCTCTGCTCCCACTGAAACCAGTCCAACCAGCTGCACCTCTGGGGGGCTCTGAACCCTGCGTTTCTACAAAGTAGTTTCCTGCACAGATTTGGTTTTAGAGTCTCTGTCACTCTTCACAGCTAAGATTTCATCTCATTTTGTCAAAACTCATGAAGACTTTTCTCTCAGATTTCGTCCCTTTTTACTGCCTTCTGTAAAAAACGACATTACTCCTGTTGGACTAACTTTAAACTTCTCCCCAGTCCGTTTAAAATACTCAAACATGTTACGACCCCTTGCTGCACAAAGCCGTCCCTTCACCCCTCATGGAGAAGTGAGCAGAGTGTAACACTTTGTTTTTACATCGCTGCAATAATAAGAATGATAAATAGGGTTTATGATGTGGGGATTAATCATAATATATGACAGATGGCACCTTCTATCTGTGGCCTAATGAAGCTCTCAGTCCCTGCTCTCAGATTTACTGTATGCACGCTTTGATGAACAGCACGCACGCTGTTCACACACACACTGAGGATTCTTCTTCTGTGCAGATTAAACGGTTGTTGAGAGGCTGGATGCAGGAAGTCACTCCTCTCCAGCATCACGAGCATGTTCAACAACATTTAGGGAGGCAGGAGCTCAGTCTGTACAGACCTGGGTCGCTGGTTCAAGTCCACATGCGGACCAAATCTCAAAATTGGTCTGGAAGCTGGAGAGGTGCCAGGTCACTTCCTGTTCACTATCATAATACATGTTTAAAAAAAAAAAAAAAAAAGTAACTCTTTTACTCCTCACAATGGCCAATGACATCATCTCTGTCATCGGTGACGCGTTCTGAGTGTGGGCTCGTGCACACAAGAGGTAGAGAGCGAGCAGGGAGGCGTCTGATTGGTTCATCAGATTGGTATCTCGTGGCAGACATTGGTGGAAGTTTTTACAGACTTACAAACTGATACAGATGATGGATTTTATTATGAGTAATTTATGAGTTATTAATTTCTGTCAGGACCTAAAGACAATTTACACCAAAATCTAAGAAAGTGGATCTGGATCCCGTCCTTTAATAAATCGTGCCTTAAGACAGCTGGGATGAGTCCCCCCCCCCCCGACAGGATAAATGGTGTTGTATAGATAATGGATGGGAAAGATTAAAGAGCCAAAAATGTAAGTCGAGTCAGGGATGTGTGAGGCTGCCAAAAAAAACCGACTGCATTCTCTTTAAGCTGCATTAGCTCAATTTAAAACCCAAACCAGATCAGCGATGTTTCTCTTTCTGTAGAGTCAGTGATTTTAAGATTTACACAAAGATAAACGTGACAAACAGTTCTTGGTTTAAGTGGAGGGTTTTGAACCTCACCTGGCGTTTCACGTGCTCGTGATGCCAGACTGAAGCTCTGTGAGAACGTGGACGAGGCAAACTGATGAATGACAGGCCGGCCCTTCAACCCAATCTCCTGCTTTTGCCATCACTCCTGAGAACCACTCCCGTCTGTCAGTCAGTCGCTATGTGAACGAGAGAGAGCGTGTGTGTGCGTGTGTGTGCGTGTGTGTGTGTGTGTGTGAGGCTGCAGGACAATCTTTTAATGGGCAGCAGAGGCCGAGGTCTGCCCATCCCGTCCATTTCAATTAGACTAAACTGCTGACTGTCCTCGCACTCACATCACCATCCTTTGGCACACACTCAAAGCAGCTGCATACAATCAGCAATTTAGTTTTGAGGCTAAAAACAAAACATTACAGCAGATGTCATTACACACGACAAACGACCACCGCGGGTTGGCCTTTCACAGATAAATCCCGCTAATCCTGCGAGCGCCACACGCCGCGCTCATGTCCGAGTCACAGAGAATACAACAATGACACTCAGAGGCAGAAGAAGACTTTCATATTATTAAAAACATCTTTTAATAGAGCATTTCTTCAACCATCCATCCTATATAAAGTGTTTCAGTGAGTTATAATTAGAGGAACGCACGCTGTGAGCGGAGCGCCGTGGAGCAGGACGAGCATCATTGATCTCTGATTGGACAAAATAATCAGAGTGAAAGATGCAGCTGGAGCTTTTCAGATGGAGTGAAGAGGTGCTAACGAGATTACGAACATCCGCTCTCTGACCAAAACAAAGAGAAATCAGTGCTGTGTGTCCCTCAGTCTGTGCAGACCATCTCTTCATCTGAGTGAGTTTGAAAACAGCCATTTATCATCAAATGTTTGAGTTTCAGACTTAAAGCTCCTGTGAGGAACGTTTTGAGCGCCCCCCTGTGGACAAAGCGGCATGTTGTTACTCTGCAGACTTTCCCTGTACATGAAAAAGTATTTTTTCTCAAAACAAAAAACTTCATTCTGTTTTCTTTAAGGAGCCAAACGTACCAGTCATCGGGAATCTTTACTGTAGAAATCTGTTTCTGCAGCATGCTGGTAAACGCCTCATCACACATCAAGACATCAGGCCGATCTTTTTTGCTTTTGTATCTCATAAAGAGACAATAAAGGTCCAATCAGTGAGATGTGTAGAGAGGGATGAAGGTATCTTACTATCTGATCATTAAGGAAACATGCTATGTTGAAGTGCTGGCTTCTCTGACAACAATGCAGCAGCCAGTATGTCCTCCTTCTAACTTTAGATTCTGCTCCTGAATGCTCTGGATTTGTTTGGACCACAGAAGGTAGGCGCTTTTAAGGCGACCCCCCACACGGCCGTTTTGGACGCCCCTCGGTTTGTCAGATATGAGAGCAGTTATCAGGTCCTGGGATCCTGTTTGCCCATCGGCTCAAGAGAGGAGGGCACAAGGAGACAGCTCTCTACTATGTTTTGAATCTGGACTGCAGTACCATTTTTACCACTAGGTGTCAGAGTAACATACTGCTCCTTTAGTATTTATTTCAGTCTGTTCCATGACTTGCTAAAACCTCACAGGAGCTTTATGTTAACAGATGTTAACTTTTACATGTATTGAAAGGTGTTTTGAAGCCTAAATTGCTGGTTGCTGTTCTATCATGAATCCTTTCCATCCTGTGGACATGCTTGGCTGTGCGGCTGCTCAATCCTGTCAATATGAGCGCCTAAATAAGAAACGCTACGCTCTGCTGAGCGTGCAGTGCGTCCTGGGTGTGCGGGTCTTTAGTCAACATGGAGCAGACGTCCTGCAGGATGAACGATGAAGGTCAAACAACATTTTCAGACGAGGTGTGTTAAACTCTTCAATGCAGTTTTTTAGTGTTTAAAAACAAAAGGCTCACAGCGTCTCCTGCTCAAGCTGCATTCCTCCACAGAACAAAAAAAAAACTAATAGACTTTGTTTACTTAAGAATATACAATTACCCATGATGCTTCACTCAGGCAGGTTAGAGTCAGCATGCTTCAGTCACTATAATGAGAGCTTTGTCTACAGCGACATGCGTTAATGATGGAGGTCGCCCCGCAGAGCTGCAGAGTTCTGAAGTCTTTAGTTAGGGCGCCCGCCATGATGCGAGCACCACGCCCCGTCTCCCGTCTCTATTGCGTCTTTGGCGCGGCAAAGTCCCAGGCGGTGTCTGAGCGCACTTCCACATGGCGCGGATCAGACGAGTGAAGCCCATGTCTTTGGGTTTCTCCAGCCCACGCATCAGACGCTGCTTCATGATGGCGATGAACTCCTTGTTGCTGAGCTCGCCGTTCCCTGAAGACGAGCGAGGAGGTGATGGACAGGTGGGATGATGATGAGATAACAGAAGAAGAATGAGTAAGAGGAAGATTCCAGAAGAATTTATTTTGTGGTCAAATGGTTAAAAACACTGTTAAGGAAGTTATGTATCAATAAAGTTTTATTAAAGGTTGGACTGAAAAGAGAAATCAGCATGTGCTCGCCATGAATAAATTACAAAAGGAGAGCGCTTACCGTCACAGTCGAACAGAGCGAACACAACGTCACACACGTGATCAGACAGCTCCACTTTGGCCACGGTGCGCGCCACCTGCTTCATGGTCACTACAGAGAGAGAGAGAGAGAGAGGGAGAGAGAGAGAGGTGGGGGGGGAGAGAGAGAGGGGGAGAGAGAGGGGGGGGAGGGAGAGAGAGAGAGAAAGAGCACAGAGAGACAGAGAGAGAGAGAGAGAGAGAGAGAGGGAGAGAGAGAGAGGTGGGGGGAGAGAGGGGGAGAGGAGGAGGAGAGAGGAGAGAGAGAGAGAGGAGAGGGAGAGAGAGAGGGAGAGAGAGAAAGAGAGAGAGAGAGAGAGAGGTGGGGGGAGAGAGAGGGGGGGGGGAGAGAGAGAGAGAGGGGGAGAGAGAGGGAGGGAGAGAGAGAGGGGAGAGAGAGGGAGTGAGAGAGAGGGGGGGAGAGAGAGGGAGGGAGAGAGAGAGAGAGAGAGAGGGGGGGAGAGAGAGGGAGAGCGAGAGGAGTGAGAGAGAGGGGGGGAGAGAGAGGGAGTGAGAGAGAGGGGGGGAGAGAGAGAGAGGGAGAGAGAGAGGGGAGAGAGAGGGAGTGAGAGAGAGGGGGAGAGAGAGGGAGGAGAGAGAGAGAGAGAGAGAGAGAGAGGGGGGAGAGAGAGGGGGAGAGAGGGGAGAGAAAGAGGCACAGAGAGACAGAGAGAGAGAGAGAAAGAGAGAGAGAGAGAGAGAGAGACAGAGAGAGAGAGGGGGAGAGATTTATAATTTGTGGAACAGAGTAATGGAGGTGCAAGTCACACCAGCCAGCTCATAAATGGCCCAAAGTGGAGGACATTGTGTGCGAGCCAAATCGTCCAGGAGGAGGGAGGAAGGGAGGAAGGGAGGGGAGCGGAAAGCATCAGGACGTCCGGCTGAGACTGAGTGTGTGCCTTAAAGCGGTGAGAAAGAGAGCGGTGGAAGACAGAAGGGGATGGAGGTAACAGATATGAGAGCAGGAGGAGTGAATCCTCGGGGTAATTTCAGAAAAGCAGACAGAAGATGAAATGATGAAACAAAAACTGCTGCATAAATCAAAAGTATCGATTATCAGACTTCAAGGGGAAGACGGTGGAAAAACAAAGAAGATTGAAATAGTTATGTGAGAGAGAGCGAGAGAGAGGGCAAGAGAGAGAGAGCCTTGGATGAAAAGAATAATAACTGACATTATCTCCCTTCAAATGGAAAGACAAAAAACAGCTGAATCACTCGACCGTGATTCTAATGAGGGGCCTTGGTTTCTACCTTTACAGGAGACAAAGTGCTCGCCCAGATAACGCGCCCACGCAGGAGAGACTGTACTGAAGGGTGTAAAGACATCACACTGGAGAGAGCCAGATGAGATGAAAGACGTGCATGACGAGGAGCGCTCGTTCAGGCTTTGGAAAGTGGGACGATTGCGGCACTGTGCGGACTTCAGGCGGGGGACAAGGATCACTTTGAGCAGCCCGATGCCTTCCTCAACAACTCAGGCACTCTCAAACAGAAAGTACAGACACAGACGCACGCTCGGCTTGTTACCGTGCAGACATGCAGCTGAAAACCGCACGCTGGAATAAAACGAGCACCTCGGGGTTAGACCCTGCTCTGTCTTAAAGCAGCAGCTGTTTCCTCAGTGAATCAGAACTAATGAATGAGCTGACAGAGAAACATATGGAGGCCCATTGAAGGGCTGAATCGCTGCAATAAATGGAGGAACGACCGACTCATCAAACAGTCGCCATATCATAAAAAAGCTACAGGTTCCTCGCTGCCTGTGTCGCTCTCACGTTTTAAACGACTCTCATTGTTAGCATCTGACAAGGCTGAATGAATTCAGTGAGATAAAGGAGAAAAGGACTCATTCAATGACTCATTTGACACCCGGTGCGTCGGGGATGCAGCAGCGTCAGTCAGATACTTTAGGTCCTTCACATCTTCATCAAATTAAAAACACAGCTGATGATTTATGAATCTATTTGTGTTGTTTCAGTTTCTGCAAAAAGCAATTAAATACATTTTACAGTCAGTAATGACATCTTCTTCTTGTAGTAGATTTAATCCTTCAAAAGATCCACATCTTAAAGACGCTGCACAGTAAACTACTCATCCATCACATCCAGCACAGATTGAGCCTCGATCTTTACTCGTCTCTCCCTCGACTCGTCGCCGTTTGGAGTTACAGATAATGTTAGAGCAGCAATCAGTGAGATGTGTAGTGAGTGAAATGATAAAGGTATCTTACTATCTGATCATTAAGGAAACATGTTATGTTGAAGTGCTGGCTTCTCTGACAACAATGCAGCAGCCAGTATGTCCTCCTTCTAACTTTAGATTCTGCTCCTGAATGCTCTGGATTTGTTTGGACCCCAGAAGGTAAAGCGCTTTTAAGGCGGTTTTGGATGCCCCTCGGTTCACCAGATATGAGAGCAGTTATCAGGTCAACAGGTGTTGCAGCGATGGAAGCGGTCAAGAGAAGTGGTTCAGATAGAAGTGATTGTACCCGACCTAAAAAGCCTCTGCATGTTTCTAATAAGCTCCACGAGCAGAAACGTGCTCAAACTAGGATCAATATTGGAGATGCTTTTGAAAAATGGAGAGAGGTTAGAACACAGAAAGGTTTACAGACCCATGCAGAGCTGGATAAACACTGAAGCTTCAGAGTCCACCACATGGTGACCTGAGTGAGCATCCACTCTAGAGATGAGGGGGCTCTCTACAATGTTTAGAATTTAGACTACAGTACCCATTTTAAACACTAGGTGAGTTACATACTACTTCTTTAAAGGAGCGTCCAACTGCAGCTCCTTCTTATCAAAACTATAACAGCTTTCATTGTCAATAACTGTTTTAGGTGCTAAGCAGGGCAAACATTATGATGGAGCTAATAATAAGAATATTTTTATTTGTAATATAGTTTTGATTTAAAACAAATCTCAAAGTGCTACAGAGTCGAGAAAACATAATCAGCTGTTTTTTGTCGTTAGGTAGTGTTGTTTGTTTGATCTTTGACATTTTCTTAAAATATTATATAAAAAGGGAATAATTTCCTTCTGGGATTTATAAAGTATTTCTGATTCTGATTTAGTTTTCTAATACTACATCAGTATTTTTTTTTGTTTGCTACATTTTGAACACCTGAGGTTTTAAAGGTAGGTGGGTTTTTCACCAGCTCGACACAGAGGCAGCAGGAGGCATGATGCTCTTTGTTCTTTTGTTTCATGGAGATTTGGATTATTTCAGCTGCACATCCCCGTGGTGCATCAGTGGGGATCAGTTCTGTTTATTTACATTTCATTAAGATTTGTTTTTGGACAAATAGTCTCTACATGTTGTTTTTATTCCAGTCCTGCTTTTAACTGTCTACCTCTCCTCATACAGACTGATAGGTTTCCACCTGTGCTTTTCTTGCTGCTGATTGGTTCCCTCTGACTTTGTTATGACCAACCATCACCTGGGAGATCTAAACCATTGTTGGCTGTTTTCAAACATGCACTCTCAGCCTGCCCTTGAAATCTTCCTGAGTAGCTTCTTCACGAGTCCCTCACAGCTTGAAGTTGAGGCAGCGGTCTCCAGAGGGAAGCCAAAGTTACGTCTTTTGATTGCACTTTTATAGTTCTTTCACACTTGCAGAAAACTCCTGAAAAAACTCCCAAGAAGGAGCTGCATGTGTGAACGCAAACAGCTGAATTTTGCACTCCTGACAGACCTCTAGTTGTATTTTGATTTTTACATTAAAAAATGTGTCACTTCAGCTGCTGCTCCATCATTATTTGGTTCCTTGTATTTCCTGGTTTGGGCTCAATGAAGTACATCTATCTGTTTCCCTCTCAAAAGCTAACATAACAATCTAAAGTTTAACATTTACAGTCGTCCTTTGACGCACACGCCTGCGTACATGAGTGAACTACACCCTCCAGACGCATCGGATAGAAAGAGCATCCATGTAGCTACAGGTCAGTTCCTCTTCTTCCTCCAGTGATGAGGCCAGCAAGTGTCAGTGGGCATTACTGGCCTGCAAAGACCAACATGAAGTATTCTGTCATGTGTGCATGTTCTTGTGTGCTAGCATGCGTTCACTAGCAGGCCCCGAGGATGAGGTCATAGATGAACGGACGGACATGCGGATGACAAACGGCTGAATCAGGCTGAAAAGAGACGTGAGAAGCAGATCTGTCTGGCTGAGCGCTAACAGCTCAAAAGAGACGGGAGCATGAAAAGTGACAACAGTTGAGACTAATTAGAAAGAAGAAAGAAAGCGACAATGTGAAGATGGAAAAAGGGCGACCGAGGGCGTACCTTTATCTATGGAGGCTCCGGCCATGTGGTAGAAACTCAGCGCTGTGTCCACGTCGTTCACGTTCTTCAGGAAAGTGAAGAAGTTCTCCACCTCCTCAAACGAAATGCCCTGCACAAGAAGGGGGGGGAAATAGTTTTTTTTTTAAAAAAGGGGTCTGAGTGAGGGGGAAAATTGCACCTTTAATGTTTGCACTGACTGTTATTTAATGTCTGCTTTATCTTCTTTTTAAACATTGCAGTACACATAAACAACACAACTTCAGAAGGTCAACACTTTTTTATTTTTTTATAGTCAGGTCTAATTACAGATTTTTATATGTAACTGTCAACTGTTTATAGGTTCTTGTTTAAAGGCTTTATATGTGATTTTTTTGATCCAGCAGATGTCGCCCTTGAGCACCAGCATGAAACCAAAAAAACTCGCGGTGCATTGTTGTGTTAGCATGCTAATGCTAGCGATCTTTATTATGCTCGTATCTTGAGATGAGATGAGATTCAACTTTATTGTCATTACACATATACAAGTATAGAGTAACGAAATGAGGTTTGGCATCTCACCAGAAGTGCAAATAAGCAGAAAGTGCAATGTAACTGCATGTAAATTTACCTGAAATGAGCGTGATCTAGAAACACAGTTAAGCAGTGAGTACAGTATGTTATTCTTCTTTTCTCTAGTCCCTCAATTAAACAACTTTTATACACGAGGGGGAGGAGTCAGTCGGCCGTCCCGGCGATGTAAACAAAGTTAAGATAGGACTGAAAACTCTGAAAACATCACAGACAGTGGGACTCGGGTGTTACACCCATTGTAGACAGACATGACTCACAGAGTTATTTTCAGAGGAGATACTTCATTTATATATTTAAGTGTGAAAAATCACAAATAAAGCCTTTAAATTTCACATATTTTTATCCCTGCACGGGTTATGTACATTTCTTGTATAAGTCTATTTTTAATTGCACAGTTTAAGTTTGATTCATCTAGGGGTATTCTTTAAAACTTTTTTTCAGGTTAATATATATGTATGGGAGGGGGGGGCGTCGGTTTCATGTCATGTATGTCTTTGTAACCTGCTACTGGATGCTTTGAATTTCCCTCAGGATCAATAAAGTATCTATCTATCTATCTATCTATCTATCTATCTATCTATCTAACAAATCCTCTCTGCAGAGGCATTAGAGCGCCGTCATCCTGTGAAAAACCAGACCAATATATTTTCATGACAAGAGCTGCGACAGCACAATGCCGTTATGGGCATGAGCTCGGCAGAGTGACACAAATGACGCGAGGAAGTTGGCAGAAGCAGGACACACATGAATGAACAGTGTGGCACGGACAGACAGGGAAACACACACACACACGTGTACACACAAACAGACGCTCAGCTGCCACAGTGCTGATGAGCTCATTTGCAAAAGAAAAGCGAGCAGCTGGTGTTGGGCAGTAAATAACTCTTTTTCTCGTTTACAGTACAGGTTACGGCAGTGATGAGAGACGGATAGCCAGGTGGAAAAAGAGAGGATAAACAGCTGAAGAGGGGAAGAGCGAGATATGGAGAGAGAGAGAGAGGGAGTGATGCTTACTGCAGTTTAATTCCCTAGAGAGACAATTCTTGCAGCACCCAGCTCTTTTTTTTTGTCATGCCTACAAGGAACAGCAGCGTCCCTGTTTTCCTTTCTTCTGCTAATCGCTGAATTTACCCATCAGACGTTCTTCATCACAGCGCCTTCTGACGTCTGTGGAGCTTTAATGTATATATAACAGCTACCATGTGATGACTGTTTTTAAGGCCAAAGAAAAACAAACACAATATGGGAACTATTTCTCCATGACAACAAGACATGCATGGGTGTTACTTCACTCAGTTGACTCATGAGGAGGAACCAGTGTGAAGCCAAAGTTCATGCAAAACACTGGAAATAGAAAAGGCACACACGTACAGTGAAGATGGCTTCAGGGCTTCTAAAATATTTTTGCACATGTTCTCTTTTTGGTGCGTCCCAGTGGAGCCATCTTTTGCTCAGAGCAGCGTGGTGGTGTTTGGTGAGAATCAGTCCGTGCTACAGATTGTGTGAAAAAAAATGGACGCAGCCACAAGGACTTTATCTACAGCTACATGAACCTCCTTTAGAAATATCTGTGTGACATTTTGGCTGTTGCCATCTTGTTTTTTTCTCTCCTTCTGAAACAGAAGTGGATAACAGGGTGGCTGTGTCTTAATTGTGGAGCAGGATTGTCTTCTTATTGGTAGATCACAGTTTGTTTCTCAGCTCCTGCAGCCAACATGAAGTCCCTGGGCATGACACTGAACCACAAATTGCTTCCGATTTGGTGTGTGAATACATGTGAATGATTAGATCAGAACTAATATTCAGGTTTGGCAGTCTACATAGCATCAGCATCTGCCATCAGAGTCAGGGTTTTAAGTCAGTTTTAAGCTCTTTGAGTAGTCGGACGACTACAAAAAGCATCATATTGATGCGATCTTGATTGTATTCCATGAGGTTGTGTTGCACTGTCCTATGTCTTTTTATTTGTTGTGTTTTTGTTCACTGCTGTAAGTCAAGTTTCCCTTCAGTATCAGGGGAAACTTGTATCACAGTATCACTGATTGAGCAGCTCTGGACAGCTCCCTATGTCAATACTGTCCATTTACAACTCTGTTTTTTGCACATTTACATTTAATCTTTCATATTTAAAACTAGTAATGCTTAGTTAAATCCTGGTTGTATATATTCCCATTCTTATTTTTGATATTTTTAGTGCTTATTTACTTTGTATTTAATATTATATTGTGTTTAAATTTGCTAATATTGTGTGTTTTGCTCATATTGTGTGTTGGACAGCCTGCTGCTGTAACGCCACAATTTCCCAGTTTGGGATCAATAAAGTAATTCTATTCTATTCTATTCCAGGGACGATAAAGGTCTGAACTGAACTGAACTTCATAGGAGGGCAGATGCAGGGAGTCAAATCTGTAGCGGGCTGTAACCTCTGTATGTGTTTTTAACGGGCTAAAAACAGTCAACACTCTTTTTTTTTTCTTTTAGTAAGAGAACTTGCAAAGCTGTACTCAGTCTGAGATTAAAGTGTATAAAGAGTTGCTGATTGAAAGAATCAATAAGAGAGTGGGAGGTTATGGAGAGCCTGCATAGAAAGTGCCTAATAACAAGCACAAAGGGAGATGTAGGACTCTTTCTGCCCGTCCACCGGGCTCTGGCTTTTCCATCTTGGGTCACCTCAAAGCGAGACAGAAGAAACTAGAGGAGTGTAGGGGAGATAAGACGAGGCTCTGAACGTGCTGTCCTCGCCGTGTGAGAGTTATTTCCTCTCGTCCCTGTCTCTCTCACACTCTCACGATGTTCCAGAATAATCTCCTTTTCCCTCAGGCACACACACCGTCTGTCCAGAGTCCTCACATATGGGCCAATTAGTTAAAAACGCTCACACCACCAAACACGGCAGCATTAAATACCTGCGCATCCTTGAACATCTTCTTCAAGCCCTTCTGCATCTGCTTGAGTTTACGGGACTGGACGCCGCTGTAGGCCAGCAGCATACCGCCGAACTGTCTCTCTGTGATCCTGCCGCTCACTGGATCGTTCCTCTCGAACTGAAAGGGGGGGAAGAGAGGGAAACGAGATGAAGATTGAGTGCTATGCAGAGGGACAAATAAATTGATGGTCACAGGAGGGAATGCAGAGATGGGAAACAGTAAATACAAGTGTCAGGGTTCTAGTTGAATCATGCTTGGAGCGTTGCTGACATTAAATCTGCGTTCTTTTTTTTTTCCTTTACAATGTTTCACTGGAGTGTGGCTTTACAGCAGCGGGCCCTCCACTGTGTCAGGTCAATCTGGTCGATTTACGTCGCAGGCCTTTTCCGACAGCAAAAACGACTTCCTCCCTCCCTCTCTCATCTCTCTCCTCTCTCTCTCGACGCATGGAGACCGTTCAAAATGTTAATTTGTCGCAGCTCATGACTACACTCAAAAAACAGCCTGGAGGGAGGATTTCAGGGGGCGACCTGACCATTCATAAACCTGATGTGGATCTGTGAGGGGAGATCACATTAAACCTGCATTAACTGATTTATCTGTTCGGGGACCAGGAAACAAGCTGTGGAGACACATTAACATGTGAAGCCTTTTAAGCTGATGTGGTGACTTTGTGAGAAAACTGTTGCTTACATGCGGCTCTATGTTCCCCTGTAGTTTTGTTATTAACACTCAAGAAAAGCCGCAGTGCCCCGGTACTTGAACCGAGAGGTTGGAAGTGAAGAGTAGCGATGAGGGTTTATGAGATCTTTAATCTTTACTCCAAAAGCTATTTTTAATAGCTGGCTAATAAGCTCATTAACATTCATGCTTCCCACAGTTTGAGAGTCTATTTGTGGTGGTAGCAGACAAGAGTTATTATTTATAAGAGAGATTTTTTTAAAAATTGAGGATGAGAGCTTGGGGAAGGGTACGAACACGCCGCTCGCTTTCTGAAGTGGGGGGAGCAGCAGGTGAACAAAAGCAGACGTAACCAATCTTTTCATCACTAACACGCTGGTCAGTATTCTCTGCAGGACACCAAATAAATATCCATATCCACACTTTCTTTAAAGATCCCGTATTCTCCTTCATGTTGTCACTCAGTGAAACCTGTAGAGAAGCTTTGCATGATTTATCAGCCAGACAGTTTGTTCCAGCTGCTGTCTCTTTAAGGCTCCCCTCCGTCAGTGCCCACTTTCTTCTGATTGGCCAGCTCCCTGGAAGCTTTCCAAGAGTGCAGAAAGCTGCAGGGCTACCAGGGGAGGGCTGCTCTCCAGTAGTGGGAGAATAGAGTCTATGTAAAGAGGTTTCACCAGCCTACGTCAGGCTTGGTTTCATATCGGGGAACTATCGCAGGATTTGCATGACAAGCAGTTTAGCGCCCTCTGCAGATTCATGCTGGGATTACTCCAACATACGTTTACCTCATGATCTGAGACTTTGACCATGTTAATGTGAGTTTTAAAATGGGGATCAGGTCAATAGGTAAACTTTCAGTAAACTAGCTCGACAAAGCCTAAAGTTGCAGTTAGAGATATCAGGTTTCAGAAAGCGGCTTCTGAACTTTCTTTGTTCACTCAGGCTTTCTGTTTAGTATCCCTGATGTGATGTCATGCATACAGTATGTTACTGCAACTGCACTGCCTCGTTCTGTGGCTTTTCAGACAGGAAGTTACATAAATATACTCTTAAGGCTGAGGTAAAAGAGGTCATAGGGAACTTAGAACATCCCCAGGTGAAAACGACAGTCAACCAGTCAGGTAAAAAGAGAGCCAGCCACTTCAGGCTCATCAGACCCGGCTTACTCTCTAATCCTGCTCTGTGTCTTTAAAAAGATACTGATGTCTAATTTATTTCAAACGATGTGAGCTTCTTGGACAGCATGTTGGTACGATAAAAAAACTGCACAGCAAGCACTCACCAGGTTTTAAACTTGAAATATTCTGCTCAGAAACAGTTTACTTGGGAATACGTCCAAAAAAGGAGAAACTACAAGAGTTGCATAAACAAGAAACAAAGGGGGAACAAGAAAAATGAGTTTCACACCCTGTGAAAAACAGCTTGTGAAACACGGCCCGGGGTGAGCTGCAGCCTCATCAAACACGGAGAGAGAAGTGAGGGCAAATGCTGCGAGTGAGACGTCGAGAACCTGATTGAATCACACGTTAGCGTGGACCTTATCTGTCCTGGTTTGATTTCCCTCTCTGAGCAGCGTCGCATCATTAAAACCTGTCAGACAGCGCTCCAACCTGAGTGCTATTCTTGGAGCGTCTCATGAGGGGGGGCACATTACGCTACGTTTAATAGATTAGAAAAACAACATGGACGACGACAGTGATCAGCTGCTGTTACAGTGGAGGCAGCGGAGCATGTGCAGTTTCACTCTGAGGAGACGAAGAAGTTACTTTAATGCTCAACAGTCACAGCTTTTGAGAGAATGACACTGAACAGAGCTGACAGATGAGCACACTGAGGGGCTTTTTATCACCCTCTGCCTCGTCCTTTCCTTTCTAACACTCACCTGTCACTTCCTCCTCGCCTTGTCCCCCGACTCTGGAACATATTTTGGTTTATTGGACAAAAATGTAGCAGGAAGTGACAGTCCTTCCTCTGAGCTATGAAGCTGTCAATCTTGGGGAAAACATTTGGTCTCACACCTGATGAGGATACGGCCTCTGGGAACAATGTGCATTTGTTTCTGATGCGGCCAGCAGTTATTCAAATACGCAACAAAGGATCTCCAGGCCAAGACTTCCTGATCTGTGAGCCTGTCTTTGTGTACAGTCTAATTTGAGATGCAGGAACTGAGTCGAGGTTGAGCGAAGACGTCTTTAACCTGACAGCTAGCCGCCTTTATATGCAGATTATATCGAAGCGTTGTTGCTCGTGACACAGACTGTTTTCCTGCCAACAGCCAGAGACCGCAGAAACACTAATGGACGATACACAAATACAGGATCACCCATAATATGAAAACAAAAAATGTTGTGTTCATATTATGGGTGATCCCAAATTTGTTCAAGCCTAATTCGACTGCTTACAGTTGGATCAGTCCATTCCAGCTTTATGGGGGTGCACTACTTAATGTCTAATTTCCATAGATCTGTCTGTTTCCTCCAAATAAATCACAGCCTATCTGGGTGTAAATATAAACTTATCAAGACTTTTAATATAGCTCTAAAAGTACTTTTAATCATCAAAACAGGGGCATGGCATCTACTTTCAAGTCAGGCTCTCATTGGCTGTTAAAGGCTGGAAACAGCTAATGGAAGGTTGTCATGTGCCAAATGAGGTGTCAATCAAAAGGTCAGAGTGCAGCCGCCATTTCGGATTTTTTGGAGCGCAGTGGAAAATATTCAGTAGAAAATACATTGGGGTAATCGGGAACAACTGTGGTAATCGCTTAGTGGATTCATGTGTTTGGATTAAATCTCTCACTGGATATGGACCTTTGTCGATGCAGCAGGAACCTTTCTTTTGAAATATTACGACGGGGAGAGTTCATTTAATCTTAAAATGGTAGATCAAAAGACTTGTTGTTGAAATTGTTGTTTCTGAGAAGTGGAACAGTGAGTGCAAAAAAAGGAAGACATTTGAAGATCAGTCGACTATAGGTCAAATCTGACCAGTCTGATTCGACTGTAAATACTCAGCCGGGGTCACCCCTAGTTCATATGCATTGATGTTTTAAAAGATTAGGAAACTAGGGCGCAGATGGTCTAGTGGTTTGGTGGTGGCCCAAGCTCGAGTCCTACCTGTGGCTCCTTTCCTGCATGTCCTTCCCCACTCTCTCTCCTGTTTCTTATTCTATCTATCAAAACTGTCTTATCAAATAGAGGCAGAAAGCCCCTAAAAAATAATCTTTTAAAAAATAATGAGAAGCTGTTTTGATGTAGTCCCTGAATGTGTTCAAAGCGGACTGAAAGATTACAGCCAAGCATGCACACAATAACACAGTGAACCTGAATATTCTCACTACACAACACCATTTCTCCATTTTTCTTCCTTCCCTCTCTCATTACCTCGAGTTTGAGCACATCGTGCTGCAGTTTCCTCTGAAACTCCAGGAAGCTGCCGATGGTGAGTTTCCCCTTCAGGTCCTCTCCGAAGAAGTAGGTGGTGAGAGCCGAGCTGCAGCCGGCCGTCTTCAGGGTGTTTCCTGTGGTGGAGCGGTCGCGGTGTCTCATCCCCATACTGGTCTGAGAGCGAATGATGCTCTGGACCTGAGGATGTGGAGGGGAACGAGTGGATTAAACAAGCAGTGATGGCTATCTCCTTTTTGATTTATATAAAGTGACTAATGGAGCTCAGCGTAAGATCAAGAAGGAAGACTTGTTATGTTCTCTCACACATTTGTTCCACTTCCTCTGTCTCCCTGCTCTGCTGATCACCTGACTTGGGCCGTTTACTCTTTAAGGCTGAATCTCGATGTCCTCCCTAAACCCTGAGTCCTTACTGCCCTTATTGATGTCACCTGGAAAGTGATTGAGTGCATGAGGCTACGAGGGCTCCAACGGTTAAATACAAATGAGACAGGACTTTGCAAGTTCTGTGTAACCATGACTACATGATTTCATGTGGCAAAAGCTTATTTAAATAAGGTTTATCTTATATAACTATAAAAAGACTAATGGGTTTTTGTTTATAGACTGCAAATGAGTTCTGAATTAGCTGTAGTTTCCAAATAACCTCTTTTACTAGACTGTAAATAGAGCGTGGTTTCACCTTCCGTTTTTTTTTTTTACCGTCTCTACCTTTTTTCCGTTTTATGGCGTTTGTTTACCTTTCAATTGTTGTGGGCTTCCCCGGGAAATCATATGTTTCACGTCACAATGCTATGAACTATGGGTACTTCCCTCACAATCCCCCCGAAGATTTCTGCCTTTTAATAAGGCAGTTACTTCTTACCACTGTAACTTTTTCTGCTTCACTAAAGTGCTCATGATGGATAGGCCGGGTCTTTGTAACATAGCAATAAGTAAGGTCTTTTACCTGCTCTTTTGTAATGTTAACAGACAAAGAGTAAGGTATTTTACCTGCTTTTTGTAACATAACAATGAGTAAGGTCTTTTACCTGCTTTTTGTAAAGTGTCTTGAGATAACACTTGTTATGAGTTGACGCTATACAAAAATGAATTGAATTGAATTGAATACCTCCATCACCACGTCCACCAGAGTCTAGACTCCACAGGGGGGGGAATCCTATCCTGCTGTCGGCCTCATCACCCCTCTGAGTACATGAAGTCGTCATGATGGAGTCTAATCCCCCCCCACATTTATTTCCTATATTGTTAAATAAATAATTCTCCATTCTTAAGAAAGTCTCTCCTGATTGAAATAGTCTCATAATAATTGGAATCTGCCCACAATGAAGAAAGCACATTCTTGTTAGAAATGAGTCAGAACTCTGATAATAAACTTTGAATCCGACAATGTAAGTTAACTCTTGCTCTTTGTCTATCTCTAACAGTGAGATAGAGAGAGAGATAGAGATAGGTACCGCGTTGCATCGTGCAGCATTGGACGCTCGCTGTCCACATTGCATCCATCCAACGCAAATTGGACGCAACTATCTAAACCCTGCTGAAATATCACAGATTGCAGAGCACGGCGCTTATTTTCTCCCTCTGACAAAATGTCACAGTGGTGCACGGCGATGCGGGTCTTGGCTTTATTGCCTGTCAGAGAGTGTTAGTGGATATTGTAATGCAATCAGGAGCTATACTGTAGATATTAAAGCAACAGTCCAAAACACACGAGGGCCGGCTGTTTCCAACCTTGTGTGTCCTTTAATATGTTTACATTGTGTGTGTGTGTGTGTGTGTGTGTGTGTGTGTGTGTGGAGTTATTATGTGGCTGCTGGTTTTTTTTTCAGTCTAACCTGATCAAACTCCTCCAGATCCACCTCTCCGTCGCCGTTCAGATCGAACATCTTGAAGGCGATCTCAAAGTTCCTCTGAGGAGCTGGACACCACAGGACACAAAAAACACAAAAAATCAGAAATCAATACAACACATATGGAATTAAAACAGCAACAACATGTCACTGGATCGACAGGCGACAGCTTAAGAGCGTCACACTCGGTCGATTCACATCAACAACTCAGCTTTGATCTTTTCCCGCCTGTTGTGCAATTTAGATGCTTTTGGGTTCTACACTGTCTGCCCAACTCTTGAGCGGAGGCTCGTTCTGTCATGTGATGAAACACAGGGCCAAAAGAGAAACAATATTTACACACTAAATCATCTCTAAATACTAAAAACATCCATTTATATGTACAAACCCACTCGTTCAGGGGAGATATCAAATATTAATGAGATCAGGCAAAAGATTCAGGCGGTATGAAAGCAGTAAATATTTATGTACCACCATGAAGCCCGTGAGGGGAATACGTCCTCCTTTGTCTTTTTTGGTTGTTAAAAGGATTGAATCCAACCATAAGGCATCATGCCCTGTCTGCTTCAAAAAGACTTGTCCTTGAAAACGTCCCCGCAGACTTCACCATATGAATGGATTATAATAAATGGTCGGGCTAAGCTGGGGATAAAAGTCAACTAGAGATCTGATTCCGGGCTTCGTTTTCATTACCTCGAACTCTCTGACACGTCCAGAATGAGGAAATGATGTGAAAATTGACTCATTCTGCGTCCACAACAAATTCTAGCTCCGTCTTAAACAAACTGATTTTGTGAAAAAAAACAACAACAGCTCCGAGGCATTTAGCTCAGCAGGCACACATTATTAACTTTGACAGAAGTGCAGATCATAAATGAGGCAGCCAGCCTCGTAAGCGGGCAAATAATGATGCACTAGAACACCTCTCATGTCTTTACTTCCTGTCTTCAATGATGCAGTAAGAAAGCAGAGGACATAAAGAGATCAGAGGTCTGATCGAGTGGAAACGTCTGGGAGTGACATGTCAGTGTGCAGAAAGGTGCAGTTCTTTGGGTGGCCACTAGAGGCAGGAACCAAAAGTGAGTCATGGGCCATAAAGTGCTGTATTAAAATGTCCAACTTTACAGTAGAAATTAAGGTGTTTACAACCCGGTTAAAAGCTCTACATTTTAATACTTTCATAGATTTATATTAGTCACAACTGTTCAGGAGCTGAATGATTATGAACTTGTTTGTTTAATGATATAAAGGCTTAAAGTTATGTATAATTACAGTGACACATGGCAGCTGCTAACTGCTAGGTGCTAGGCTGTGTGGGAACAGTGGTCCCCACCAATCGTAGCTGTGACTTTCTGGGGTTGTGGGTAGTGTAGTTCTTTTCCCCCAGATTAAGATTAAATCATGTTTTTCTTAAAACCAGGTCTTCTGTAGGATCGTATGCCATCGCTAATAAGCAAATCTGCAAAAGATTAATGAATGGGATTTTTACTTCCAGAACCACAAGGTTGAGCTCTTTTGGTTCTTCCCTGCAGATAGGTTGGCAAGCTTTAGTGTAGTGAATGAACAACTTTGGTAAGCATCCATCCAACACAAAAAGAATCTCTGCGGGAAACCTGATGGTCAACTAAACTAATAAATAAGCCTACCCTTCTGGCTCCTAAATACCAACATGGCATCAGCTGATCTTTGAGGTGGGTTAGGGTTAGGGGTTCGGTGACATCCTTTATTTTTGTAAAGTCTTTGGGTTTGATTAGTCTCAGAACATAAAAGCCGTGGTTAGAATGGCTCCTCCGTGGAGTTCAGTGCTTCACTTACTGGACAGCACGGTGGTGAGGAAGATGTAGTCGGAGAAGGAGATAAGGCCACATTCCCCCAGAGTGAAAAAGATACTGTCCTCGTCTGCAAACTTCTCCCTCTCCTGGGCGATCTTCTTCTCATCCGGGCCGGGACAGAAAAACAAAGAAGTTGTATTAGAACTCAGCTCAAGCACTGATAGCTGTCACAGCCATCCCAGTGTTGGCTTCGTGTGTGTAAGAAGACACACACACACACACACACACACACACACACACACACACACACACACACACACACACACACACACACACACACACACACACACACACACACACACACACACACACACACACACACACACACACACACACACACACACACACACACACACACACACACACACACACACACACACACACACACACACACACACACACACACACACACACACACACACACACACACACACACACACACACACACACACACACACACACACACACACACACACACACACACACACACACACACACACACACACACACACACCACACACACACACACACACACACACACACACACACACACACACACACACACACACACACACACACACACACACACACACACACACACACACACACACACACACACACACACACACACACACGATCGGGGTCATAAGGATGGCGATGGATACGACGTTTTTAAAATCATGCAAATGCTCACAATGCATACACATGAAGCCGTACAGGCAGGTGAGAGTGGAAGTGACAAACAATTAGTCTGCGGTCAGTTTTAAGTACGAGGACATCATCAACCACAGGTTGTACTCACGGCGAAAAAATGTACACAGAGAGGGGAAACATCACGAGAGACTGAAGCACAAACACACACTATTCTTTAACCATATCTGTAACACAACTCGATCGCATCAATCAATAAAACAAAGTTATAGTAGCTCTCTTTCACACACACACTCACAGAGTAAACTTACATTTTCCAGTTAGCATGTTTATACTTACAGCATTGCATGACAACAGAAACTACATCACATGCACACTACACACTCAGATATAAGGACTTGAAAAAACATTGTCCACCAAACATAGTAGACAGAGAGAGACAGAGCATGCCTTAGCAGGGAGGGAGGGGGGAGGGTGGAGGGACAGGGCCACGCTGAGCCCGTGTGGAGTTACCTCCGTCTGTAAGAGGTCCAATTCAGAGGAGGAAGGAGGAGAAATAACTGTTAGAGAACAGCGGGGCCTCTGCTGTCTTTAGCAGGGCCTTGAACAACAACAAAAAAACAAGCATGTGCATTCATAGTGTCACACACACACACACACACACAAAAATACATCTTGCTCAAAACAAGATAATTGGGGGATTCCACTCAAGCTAAGAATTGAAATATGTCCTGCCGTCTCTGCAGTCTGTAATTAGCATTTGCATGCATGAGCGCTGCCTGCTAATAATAATCAAGAATGGCTTTGTCTTTCTCTGCAATAGAAAATGATGCATCTTTAGCACAAGTTAAAAATGTTATTAGACCTACCGTTTGTCTCCTTTTTACATATTTCCAAAAGACTGCATAGAACGATGAAGACAATGTGATGTCACTACTGTTTAAGCCTATAGTTTAGCACCTTTGCCATCTCCTTCTTGATGGTATGGTACCTAAAGTGACCATGTCTATACAACATGGAGGAAAGGTATTGTTGCTAAATCAGCTGTTTCACTCTGAACGGGGCCATCATTTTCAAAGTGAACAACATTCTGGATTAAAGAGTTCAAACTCAAATGGTCAAATGTTGCATCTCTATACATTCATTCTAATTATTGCAACCAGCTGAATCGCCCCCTACTGGCTATTAAAAATAAAATTGGAATCAGCTGTAAAAGACTCTAAATCTTCAGGAGCTTTCCTTAAATGTTTTTAAAAAGACTTCTTAAAGGCTTTATATGTGATGTTTTGATCCAGCAGATGTCGCCCTTGAGCACCAGCATGAAACCAAAACAACTCTCGCTGCATTGTTGTGTTAGCATGCTAATGCTAGCGATCTTTATTATGCTGGTATCTTCACACTGCATGTAAATTTACCTGAAATGAGCGTGATCTAGAAACACAGTTAAGCAGTGAGTACAGTATGTTATTCTTCTTTTCTCTAGTCCCTCAATTAAACAACTTTTATACACGAGGGGAGGAGTCAGCCGGCCGTCAGGGCGATGTAAACAAAGTGAAGATAGGACTCTGAAAACTCTGAAAACATCACAGACAGTGGGACTCGGGTGTTACACCCATTGTAGACAGTCATGACTCAGAGTTATTTTCAGAGGACATACTTGCAGGATTTCTGCTACATTAAGTGTGAAAAATCACATATTAAGCCTTTAATGATCTGGAGGCGGGCATATCTGGCTGTAGATGTTTTAACTGACTCTTATTGCCCCCTTTTTGATCGCCTTGTTGTTGATGTTTTATGACACATTTTGATGACATTTCTTATATTTTGTGATTCCTTTATTGATGTTAAGTGTTTCATGTCTGAAAGCCAGTAAATTGTGTTGTCTTGGCCAGGAAGCTCTTGTTAAAGAGATTCTTAATCTTGATGAGACTTTTCCTGGTTAAATAAAGAAGAAAATTTGCAGCACTTTGCAACCAATAGGCTTCATCCCATTCTAAAACACACATGGCTGTTTTTGAAACCGCCTATGTTCAATAGTACGCAGTATGTACAGCATACTACATATGTAGTCTGACTGCCAGTCGGTGGTTATTTTTGCAGTAAGCCAGGCCCTGCTAATCATGGAATGAGTTCATAAAAAAACAGCTCAGCTGACATCAAAGACCTCTACAGTGTAGCTTCCACCTCCAACCACAAGAGATTAATTTAGATTTTCTTGATTTTAAGAATCAAAGATAATTGATGGTATCTTTGTGATTATTTCTCCCCGTCAGGATGTCCGTCGCTGTCCATCATCTCGATCTCTGACCAGACGCTTTGCCTAAAGACTGGTTCTGATTTTATCCAGAATCAGTACAACATCTGGGTATTTTTGGCAAACTGAGGATCTGCATTTTGGTCAAATCAGTACATACTACTAGTAAAGTAGGCGGTTCCCAAAACAGCCTGTCTGGGATCTTTTCCTCCAAATAAAAGCTAGTCCTGTTTTTTTTTTAATTTGAAAGGAACACAGACTCATTTACAGAAACATATCTGACTCTAAAACTTGGTGGCATCCCCCTAAACAGAACAGCATAACATAAAATGATTTTACATTCTTATCCCCCCCAAGGACCGACTCCCTCCTCATGATTATACAAACTGTATAAAAGCTGATAATATAGAAAACTATCTCCAAATGGAGTCCATCTGGACTCTTGACTTGACTTTTAAATACAGGAAGTAGTGGTTTCTACTGTAACATTTATTAATAATGATTATCTACATCATCGGTATGAGGGGAGAAGGGAGTGGGAGAGAGAGGGGGAGGTGAGAGAGGAAACAGTTATTTTTAGAGCATCCCAACCAGGTTGAGAGAAACGGAAAGAGAGAGCAAAATGCGACTCTTGATGCCGTAAGAGTTTCAGGTGTTTGCATGTGTAGAAGTGTGAAAGAATATTTGACAAGAGGAAGGAGTGTCGAAAGAAGAAAGTAAGAGAGTTGTAGAGAGTTTAGGTGGTTGGTATTGGTCCTGGAATATGACACACATAAAAACCTCTCAGGGCCCAAGGTGAACCAGAGTCCTAAGGCCAGTCCACAAAACAGAACGGACTCACAAAGTGTGCAACACAACGGTCAAGCAAAGACTCCTGCCCACGCTGACAGACACACAACTACACGAGAGACGTAACCACACTGGGCCTCATTATAATGATCAGAGCGGAGGCCCTGAGCACATTAAGCGTAATAAGTCACTTTTTTTTTTTTCCAGTGGCCTGAGTCAAGGTCGAAAACACCCACGCAGATCCACCACGGTGACATTCAAGGCAAGACGTCTGATTGTGATGGCGGAAAAGAGGAAGCAGAGAGCATTTTCAGAAGAAGAGTTTGTATGAGCACACAAACCGATAACATCTAAAACAACAAAGCTTTGAGTCTACTCTGAAGCCCAATTCAAAGGAGAAGATAAATGTTTCGCTGTGAAGTCGACAATATGCATTTCACACTCTTGCTCGCTCTCACAAACACAATAAGCTATCATACAGAACATCTCTGCAACAAATGCATGCTGTAACACTGTGTCCTCTTTCAAGCAGACACAGGTTTCCCAGCAGTGTGTATATCAACCTCCACTGTTGGTTCCAATGTGGCATCTTATGTGGATTTGGTGGCTCTGCGTTGAGAGATTACATCCCGTCCTCTCCTTCATCCTCCATCTTTCTGTCACCATTGAATGCCACATCTTCCCACTGACTGACTGAGTGCACTATTTAATGCTCCAGATTCAGAAATAAGCCACCCGACAGCAGCGAGTCCCATGCATAAGTTTAAATCCGCCTTGAGTGTTTCCATATGTCATGAGGTTAAATTCCATAGAGGAACATCACTATGAAGAGTGGGGAAATCTGTTACGTACCAAAGTGGAGTTTTCATTTTATATTATTATACCTCCAATCCCTTTTAGGTGCTGCTCTCACGCTCGGTGCCAAGTGATTGAGCTCACCTGGATCCACTTTACCAATCAAGGCCAGAGTGTACGCAGCAGGAGAGAGGAGGCAGACGGTACAATTGGGCCGTCTGTCTGTGTTTATCTGACGTCGAGGTGCTCTAGTGCGTCTCTTTCTCTGTCTCTGAAAGAGGGTTGTCTTTTCTCTACTTCGGTGCTCCTTTGTTGTTTGTATTTACAGTTAATAGTATTTTTTAGACAGAGGATCTGCTTCTCTTTGGTTTGAGAAATAAATTAGTTTTGAGTTTTGTGGAAAATTAAGTAAAGCCAACCCTGAATTTAGTTTTTCTATATATTTTCTCTCCATCCTACTCCCCTCATTCCCCGGCCACAACAAAGTCCAAGGTGGATTCAAACTTATGCATATAATTGAGATGTAAAACCTTTACCTGTCAGAGATCCCTATTAGCTACCATATTTCCCTTGGCGGCCATTTTCTCCGTGTCTTCTCGGTTAAGTATTACTGCAGTTTGAATCATCAACTTGAGGATGACTTGAGGCTAATAAAACACGCTGCTGGAGTAACAGAAAGGATCTGAACTACACTGAAGTTGGTTTTGAACACTCTTAGTAAACTTCTCCCTCAGCGCTGATCTTTAAACGCCTGTAATCTTAATTGCTGCAGCACTCGAGTTAATTAAGAGCTAGAGCCTCGTGTGTCAGCGTGCACGTCTGTTGATCAGTGTCAACTCAGCAGCCGTCCGTGTGTCTGAACAACGTTTCTTTCTTGATCTCTGCCCTGAGCCTGCTCACATGTTCATACGCGTCTCTGAGTGTCAGCTACGCTACGGCCAATTCCACTATCCCTGTCCAGATGACAGACCGAGCGGACCAACTAGCCGGTGAGCTGAGGCAGAAATGCAGCGCTGACAGAGCTGCTGGCAGGACGGCGCTGGCAGACAATTGCACTGCTGTCTTACACACACACACACACACACAGTTGGGGTTAAGGGTTTAGTTGGGGCTAATCTCCCGAGTGCATCAGGCTAGAAAGAAACCCTGATAGCTGCCCTGGACACATTTCAAGTAGCCCAATCTTTGCACAAACTAGGCTTACAGAAGTGAGGCCAGGCCAGAGGCTTTCATGCAAAAAGGCAAATTATGCTTCTCCTTTATTCACATGAGTGGCAAAGAAACACTTTCTAAGAAACCCAGGGAAAAGTCACATTATTTATAAAGAACTTGGACTACATGAAAATGTCCTGAGCATTTAAGCAAATGATTTAAAAACCCAGACCAGGGAATTATTTGCTTGCAGAAATATACCTTTCTTTCAGCTTTAATCAATTAGCTTTCCTAAATTTTAGTTATTCAGTCTATTAAGTCATAGCTGCGCTGATAAAGCACACGCTGATAAAGCACACGTTTAATTCTGACCTCCAGCATTGTAATGTCTTAATTTAAGAAAACCAGCAGCTGCTGAAGCGACCGTGATGACCATATTTCAACACATTACCCTGCAGACTTCTGGCATGGACGTTGGGAATTTGTTCAGTAAAGACCTTCTTCTTATCTCATCCTATGGTGCTGTGAT